CCCAATTTTTAAATGGGTACCAGAGTTGTCACCATTAGGGGTGGGCAAAAATACCGAAAAATCGGTATACCGCACTTATCGTGCCGGACAATACCGGAAAATACCGGAATATTGGTATACCGTCATTTTCGATACGGTATCATACCGTACCGATTTATTTCGGTACGGTAACGGTAAATGTTTTCAAATACCGCGGTATACCGGTATAATACCGTACCGGCTTCATACCCAACAATTACTTTAAATTCTAAAATATTGTAAAAGTCCATTACAATTTTGAAGCCCAAAATTAATACTTAGGTTGGTTGCACATACTAAAATACAAAAAGAAAGGCCCAATTCCCCAAACCCGTTATAAGCTTTTAGCTTAGGCTTCTACTACGTAACTTTCAAACAAATAAGCATATTGACTAATGAGTAATGTACTAATGTCCAGAAACTAGTCCATCTTAAGGCTTCTACTACGTAACTTTCAAACAAATAAGCATAATGACTAATGAGTAATGTACTAATGTCCAGAAACTAGTCCATCTTGTTCCATGAGCTTGTGAGTCGCGATGGCTGAGCAGCTGAGTAGCTGACGAGTGAAGAAGGATACACTAATGTGACGAATGTATCTACGTAAGGATCTACTTAGTCGAGGCACACAATTTTGTCTGAAAGTCTATTTCAAATATTTTTTAAAATTAAAAAATGACTAAATACACAATATCATATAAGGGATAGATGATTTTGTATCCATGTTGTTTGAATAATTTTATTTAGTTTTATATTCATTTAATTACAGCTATATTGTTCAAGTTATTTTATGAGAATTTGTTATTTTTTAATATGTGACATGTTGAACTGCTTAAATATACTAATAATAATTATTGTTCAATATTGAATATGACATCAATATATAGATTATTAATTCCATTTTGTAACATTTTAATAATTGATTAAATATGTCGCTAGTAACACCGATTTAGTATATTTTGTTAGTGTATGATAACTTGTTGTATTGTGAGACATGCAAGGTAATTTACCGATACCGAACCGAAACTTCGGTATACCGAAATACGGTATACCGAAACTTTGGTAAGGTAACGGTATATAAATTTTGTATACCGAAAGTTTTGGTACGGTAAAGGTATGAGAGAAAATATTAGGTATACCGTACCGAACCACCCCTTGTCACCATATTATTACTCTGATATAAACTAAGGATGTTTTTACTTGGACTGTAATTTACTGGTCTGGTCTGGTCTGGTCTGGTCAAGTCTGGTCAGGTCTGGTCTGAAATTTTAATTTTTTATATTTTTTGCATAAATATTTTATTTTTTATATATATTATAATTCATAACTAATTATGTTTTATTCATTTATAATTAAAAATAATAATATTCCTTCCAGCATGCTAAAATTTTGTCTATTCGTTATAAAAGTAATAATAAAAACAATAATAATACTAATAATTAGGGGCGTGCACTATCCGGTTTAAACCGGAAAACCGGACCGAACCGAACTGGAAAAACCGGAACCGGATCAAACCGGAATAATATCCGGTCCGGTTTTCGGTTTTGACCGGATGAACCGGATGAACCGGTTCGGTTCCTGGTAAAAACCGGAATACATCCGGTCTGGTTTTCGTTTTTGAACCAAATGAACCGGTCCGGTTTCGGTTTTGAACCGGATGAACCGGTTTAATTCCGAGTAAAAACCGGAATACATCTGGTCCGGTTTTCGGTTTGTATATCATGAAATATCCGGTTACGGTTCCGGTCTGGTTCGGAACGGTCCGATCTGGTTTCGAACCGGTGCACACCCCTAATAATAATAATAATAATAATAATAATAATAATAGTAATAATAGTAATAATAATAGTAATAATAGTAATAATAGTAATAATAGTAATAATAATAATAATAATAATAATAATAATAATAATAATAATAATAATAATAATAATAATAATAATAATAATAATAATAATAATAATACGGAGTAATAATGATGATGATGATGATGATGATGATGATGATGATGATAATGATAATGATAATAATAATGATAATGATAATGATAATGATAATGATAATGATAATGATAATGATAATAATAATAATAATAATAATAATGATAATGATAATGATAATAATAATAATAATAATATCTGGCCTGGTCTGGTCTGTTTTATTCTGGTCTAGTCTGGTCTGGTCTATTTTGGTCTGGTCTGGTCTGGTCTGGTCTGATCTGATCTGGTCTGGGACGAATTACAGTCTAAGTAAAAACAACCTAAATTGTCCAAATGCATGAACTTTTTTAAGTATCGTCACGTAGAATGTAAGACTTTAAAAATGATATAGTGATTTGGACCATTAAAATTTTAAATCGGCCTAGTGCGTCAAAAAATCGGCCTAGTCAGCTGCCTAGGCGCTTGGCACCCTTTAACCGCCTCACTAGCGCCTAGCGAGTTTATAAGAATAGTCTTCACCCAACCTATTTCTTCTCTCACGTTACTTTCTTTTGATTTCATTCTTGAGTGCAATTTTGTTCACCTCCTCCGAGGGGTGAATATCACCCCTTCCCTCCCTTGGTGCCATGTGGCATCTCCGATCCAAGGGTCTCTCTCCCTTTGACTTACAAACCCAAAGTCCACCTATTTCTCACTGTTATATGGTTTTTAGATTTTGGCTTGTCCATCCAATCAATGGATACACAAGAAAAGTAAGAATTGAACAATAAATTAAAATAACAAATTGATGGGATTCGAAGAAGAAGACCGACACTTCATGCGATGTAAAGACGACGAAACTCGGACCAAGTTTTTGTTTCTGTCAGAAGTTGGTTGGAGATGACCGGCGCTCGGTTCTCAGGCAAATGAATGAAGGAACAATTGTGGTGGCCGTCCAGGCAGTAGCATACATGAAAAGGTAGAGGTAAAGCTCAGAGAAGACGACCGACGCTCGGACCAACTTCTTTCGCTTTGTCGGAAGTTGGCCGGAAAAAACGACCAGCATTCGGATCACAAGCGGCCAGAGTGATGATTGTGAAAGAAAGAAAAGGGAAGGAATACTAAATTACTTATTTTAATATACTGTTTATTAAAATACAAAATAAACAGTCCCAGCATACTGTTTATTTAATACTCCCTCCGTCCCTGAAAATACTTCAAACTTTTCCTTTTCGTCCGTTCCAAAAAGAACTTTCCTTTCCTTTTTTGGCAAAAAATTTGTGGTTCACAACAGTTCTCTCTCCTCTGCACAACTCTCCACCACACAATTCTCACTTTCTTAATCCGCGTGCCACTTCATTTTGGAAGTAAATTATGGGACGGAGGTAGTATACAAAATAAACATTCCCAACTCCCAAATACAAATATCATTTAATCCAAACATATACCTTAATCTTAATAGAGAAAAGTAAACTGCCTGTAATACTTCGTACGTAATAAATAGAAAAGTGTGAATGAAAGGGAATAATTCATCAAATTATATACTTCCTCCGTTCCATAAAAGTTGCAACATTGGAATTTCTGCACTATTCACACACCTTACTTTGACTACGATTTTCTAATAATATATATAATAAAATATTATGTATAAAATATTAATAAATTTGTATTAATGTAAATTTCCAATATATTAACTTTTTTTAATGTTTACTAATACGTAAATAAATATAATTACAGTCAAAGTTGCGCGTTGGCAAACGTGAAAGTCAAACTGTTGCAACTTTTATGGAACGGAGGATAGTACTATATATGTATGTTACGTAATAAATTGTCAAAATAAAAGGTTGCCATTTCTCAATATTCACTTTTTTTATATTCACTTGTTTTTTTATATTCATTATGATGTAGACCTTTTTTGAGCAAAAAACTTAACCATCAAAATTCGCGTAATATGGTCTGGTACAATGCTTTATCAGTATTTCCGTACACTCCTAGTATTTATGCTTTTTTCCACGATTTGTAGGATTTTTTTACTTGGATTGTAATTTGCCGCTCTGGTATGATCTGGTTAAGTTTGGCCTGATTTGAACTGGTTTGGTCGGATCTGGTAAATGTCTGGTCTCTTTGGATTTTATAACTGCACGGATTTTATAACTGTGCAAGACTGGTCTGTTTAAGTTTGGTCTGTTCTGGTTTGTTTAAGTCTTGTCTGGTATCGGGACTGAAAACGGTCCGAGTAAAAACATCCTTATTTGTAAGCCTCTTTTTAGATTTAACAATGCAATTTGAGACGATATCGACGAGGCCTCACCTAAATAAACCAGAACGAATCGATTAAAACAAGATGTAATTGAGAATCTGTGACTTAAAGCCGAGGAAACCCATTAGCAAAAGCGCAATTAAATACCGTATATAATTAACTCCATGAATATCATTAGAAGTAAGTGTCAGATTGATCGTCGAAATTGCATAAAAAGGATCAAATAACTCCTTACTGTCCGGCCGTTGCCATTTGGTGAGGTTCTCGAAGGAATTTTTGGATGAAGTTTTTTGAGCATCTTATTCATTAAGTCTGGTTTACCCATACCAAACTATCAAAGTTCAACTAAAACTTCAATCGGGAAGACATTCAAATGAATTCTTGAAGGCAATTGCGCTTTTAACTGCGCAGTTATCTTCAAGACTTCGTTTGAATGCCTTCCTGATTGAAGTTTTAGCTGAAATTTGGTATGAATAAACTATACTTAATGAATAAGATGCTAAAAAAAATCATCAAAAAATTCCACCGAGAACCGCCCGGAATGACGACGGCCGTATAGAGCCTCATGTATAACTCATACGTAGTATGTAAGGACTTATTTGCCCCTTTTTATGCAACTTCGAGGACGAACGTGACCCTTACTTTAATCTCAATATCATTAGCAGTAATGGGGTTATGCGAAAGTGCGAAACCCCACTAGGAAAATACGCAAATCCACCAGCCGAAGTAAACCAGGAATTCTCCCTCGTGAAGGAAAGAACTTTTTTTGATTTGCTCGTTTCGAACTAAGTTTTCACAGACAAAAACTAACATATAAATAACGTTAAGTACGTTGCCTAGCTTAATCAGTTGAGGAAACCCCCGGCCGGCAAGATGGCAAAAACAAGAAGAGCGGTGAAAATATGTCTCAGCGTCCTGCCCATTCTCCTCTCTGCCCCCATTATAGCGGCCGGCATTTGGGCCAGCAATTCTTGCGCCAATTTCTATTTCCAGCAGATTATAATCTCAATGGGAGCTTTGATGTTCTTGGTGGGGCTGGTAGGCTGCTGCGCAATATCCACCAAGGATGAGGATGGGGAACTGGGTGCCACTTATTTTGGCACCACCTTTCTCCTATTCCTCATGGCCGTTGCTCTCTTCATTGCCGCTTTCGTCGTCACCGGTTACTCCGGCTCCCCGCACTCGGTCCCCGGCCGGAATTACGTCGAGTACCGCCTCGATCACTTCGCTTTCTGGCTTCGCCGGAGGGTCAGCGGCTACTTCCGGTGGAATCCCATTATTAACTGCCTCACCGGTTCTAATTGGTGTGAGAAGTTAGATAAGACTTACTCCTCTTCTCAACAATTGTTTAAAGCACACCTCACCCCATTGCAGGTATTCATTAATTACGGAAATTCTACCGTATTTATTTATGTGGGCTAATTAAAATATTGCAATTGAAAAATCTTAATACTAATTAGTGATGAAATAATGACTTGGACCAATTAAATTCATTAGTGCACCCTCAGTGTTATAGAATAGGAATAATAGATTCTATTTTATGCCTAAAAATGTGGGGCTTGGCCATGATGTATTGACGCGACTCTTAGAACATTGCTACAACTTGCTTGTTTTATTATCAGCCCTTCCCAATGTAAATTTGACTTTTGTGTTAAACATTCATTTTATCCACTTAATTAAGTGTATTCTAATTTGGTATTTGTAATTTTGAAAAGATTTTAATATAATTTCTGAATATGTAAATTTCAATTATTAGAAATAGAATTATTTATCAATAAGGAAGATATAATTTTAACACTAGTTGACCGAAAAATAATGACTTTGCAAATCACTTTGGGACGGAAAGAGTAGTTTTTGGTATAGTTCTATATTATTTGCTCCTGTTTAAAATATTTTGATAACTTTTCCCTAATTGTTTTCTACTCATACTTCATATACTCCGTATTAATTAACTAATGACTACCTTATGTTGATAGAAGGTATTTGTTCGTTGATAGATTTATTGTTCAGCAAAATAAATTGCTACCGGTGGGCGTAGCTCAACTGGCAGCAAGGGAGAGTGCCACTAGGGTTAGGTCCTGGGTTCGAATCCCGACAACTGCGATAAGCGGTTACTATGTTAAAAATACATAGGGTCTCTGCAAGTACCGGGGATAGAGCCCCACTCTCTATCTGTCAGATTAGGATTATAGTCCAATTTACATCCTCCCAACGTACCGTCCGGTCGGGGTTGGGGGGCCTCAGGGATGAGGTGTCATCCTTTTTTTAGCAAAATAAATTGCTCTATTATTTTTATCTAAAATAAATTGCTTTGCTTTTAATGAATCTAAATTGATTGAATTGCAGTCAGGATGTTGTATGCCACCTGCAAAATGTGACTACACTTTTGTGAGCCCAATAAATTGGAAAGTCTCAAAAGACAATAAAACAGACAGTGACTGCCTGAATTGGAGCAATGATCCAAGAAACCTTTGCTACTCTTGTGATTCATGCAAAGCAGGATTTCTGGCGGATATAAGGAAGAAAATTAGAATAGCAAACCTCATTATGTTTATTGCCTTTTTGGTAGCAATGGTAGTTTGCGTTGGGTCTTGTATTAATCGTATATTAGAGTAACTTGGGCTGTTTAATTTGCACTCGTCACTTGGTCCATATTAGTCGTATATCATACATAATCAATGGGCCATAGTTTAAATGTTGGCTAGAGATTTGTCATAAAGGAGATTCCATTCATAGTTTCCACATCACCGTCTACAATTAAGTAAACAGTCCCTAATACTACGTACTACATATGTAATAAATAGAAAAGTGTGAATTAAAGGAATATTTATCTCTGGTCTGGTCTGAACTGATATGATCTGGTTAAGTCCGGTCTGGTAGTAAATGTCTAGTCTCTTTGGATTTTATAACTGCGAAAGACAGGTTTGATTTGATCTGTTTAAATTTGGTGTGCTCTGGTCTGTTTAAGTCCGGTATGAAAATAGTCCAAGTAAAAACATCCTTATCCATGATCCCTAAGCCTCTTTTTAGATTTATACAATGCAAGTTCAGACGAGCAGTTCGTATGCCGTGGGATCATCCCACGGTGAGCACCATGCTCTAGGGCCAAAATCGACATAGTTTAAATCAATTTAAAATAAGTTCGCGTGAACAGTACATGCGTGTACAGTAACTGTTTTTTTTTTCTTTAACTCCCAGTAGCATGAATGATGTAACTCACGTACGTGTAAAGAAATGTAACTCACGTTAATAAGAAATGTTACTGCAGGCAAGTCGAAATGTAACTTGTCTAAAACAATGAGTTTAATGTAAACAATAAAAAAGGAGTCTACTTTCTTATTTACTTTACCTAAATACTCCCTCTGGTCCTAAATAAAGTTCAGTGTTTGACTTCACACAAATTAAAAAAAATAAATTTGACTTTACTGTAGAGTACACAGTTGTGACATTGTTTGACACTGTTTGACACTGTTTTGCACTGTTTTGATGTAGATAATTTGTCAAATAAGGAAATGAGAAAAATTGTGAACTTTATTTTGGACCAGCCCAAAAAGAAAAGTGTGAACTTTATTAGGACCGAAGGGAGTAGTAAATATGTTTTTTTAATATTAAGACCACAAAATGTTTTAAAGAAATCATTTTCTCCCTAAAATATCATTTTTTGCAAAGAAAAATTGATTTAAGAAAAGGTTCTTTTTATTCTATAAAGGGGTTTATTTTGTGATTATGAAATACGATATACTAATTTTATGTGGATTAATAAAATCTTGTAATAAATTGGTAAAGAAAAAAATTAATTCAGTTGTAATTTAATTAGTTAAAGATAAACATAAGTAAAAATCACAAATAATTAGATGTAATTCACGTATAAATTAGATGTTACTCGCGCATAAAAATCTATAACTCGCGCATAAAAAGATGTAACTCACGTATAACATCATGTAACTCACGCATAATAACATGTAACTCGAGCATAAGAAGATGTAACTTTGTATATAATACGAAATGTAACTCCAAGAATCAAAATAAACAAACTCAATGTCTTAAAAATCTCTAAAAACATGTAAAAGGGATAACAAATATTATAAAAAAAGTGTATGCGTATAAAAGTTTATTACGGAAAAATATATTATGAATATAAAAAAGATATTACAAAAATGTTGTATGAATATAAAAAATATTACAGAAATAAAAATAGTGTATGAATATGAAATGCAATATACTTATTTTATTTAGATTAATAAACTTTTTGTTATGTATTGATAAAGAAAAGTAAAATTGTAAATAAATCTTTAATATTTTAATTTGATGGAAAAGGAGAAGAATTTAAAAACAAAAGAAAAGAAAAATAAAGAAAGTAAAGCAAAAGAAAAAGAAAACAAGAAGCTCCACGAGGGAAAAGAAACCTAACTAACAAATAAATGTAGAATCGGCACACCATACGGAAAGTGGACCGATCCATAGTATAATTTGCCTGAGACGAGGCCTCACCTAAATAAACAAGAACAAATCGATTAAAACAAGATGTAATTGACTAATTGAGAACCAATGACCTCACAGAAACCCCACTGGGAAAGTACGCAAATCCACCAGCCCAAGTAAACCAGGAATCCTCCCTCATCTGAAGTAAACCCGGACAGGCACAAATATAAATTACGAACGTTGCCTAGCTTAATCAGTTGAGGGAACCCCCGGCCATCAAGATGGCAAACACAAGAAGAGCGGCGAAAACTAATTAATAGAACATTATTAGGAATATTTGTTTCCTTGTATGTCTTGAACTCTTCTTATTATAAATATACAGATCAGGACTCCTATTGGAGTACCTTTCCCAAAATATTCTCACATGGTATCAGAGCCTAGGCTAATTCTATTTTTTCGACTGCCTCTCCTTCTTCCATCGCCGCAGCCTCCATGGAATCCACCACCACTACCTCGCCGGTGACTGCGGCAGCTATATCTGTGATTCCAACCTCCGTGGCACCACAGCCATCGCCGACTCAGACTTCGGCGTTCCTCCCTCCTCCTTCCTCCGGCGCTGATTTCTCTCAATCACTGCAGCCGGTGCTCACTTCATCGGATATCAGCCAAACCTCCTCTCTCTGGACTCCACCTTCTCCGTACAGCCTCTTCAACAGTTTGCCGCCTCAGTTTCCCTGGTATTCGGTTTCGGCAGTCTCTCGACCGGTGCAACCGCCCTCTTCTCCGTTTTTTGGATCGACTTTTGCTGGCACACCAGACGCTATGCCCGACTCTCTTCCCTTCAGTTCTCCTCTCGCTTCGATGGCGCAATCAGTCTCCCATGGCATCGCTAATGTCAGACAGATTGTCACCATTAAACTTAAAGCCGTTGATGACTATCTCACGTGGCGCACACAACTTGAAGCTTTCCTGGTGTCTCAAGGTCTTTACTGCTGCATATATAATTAGCAGGCTTCCTACTCCTAATCTTTTTGGTGTCTCTCCATATGACATTTTTTCCAACGACCCCCTGATTACAACTTATTACGTTTGTTTGGGTGCGCGTGTTATCCCAATTTTTATGCTTCCTCTTCAAATAAACTTTCTCCACATTCTGTTCAATGTGTCTTTCTTGGCTATGCATCTGGATATAAAGGATATCGTTGTTTGGAGCCCAAGTCCGGCAAAGTTTTTATTAATCGACATGTTCGCTTTCATGAAAATATTTTTCCCTATGCCACATTGTCTTCATCTACGGGTCCTACATCTTCTCCTTCTACTCCCATTGATGACACCATCAACACTTCTCCTAGCTTGCCATTGATCACAGCTCCTCCACCTGCTCCCATAAACCCTGAACTCTCCAACTCCACCCCTCGAATACCCCATTATTCCTCCCCGCGACTGCCCCATTCTTCCTCACCGCCAACCCCGAACTTAACCCAACCCACTACACAACCACCCGACATCCCTCCGCACACACCTACCACTGAGCCCAGACTCCCCCTACCGACGACCTCAGCCACGCCCTACTCCCCTTCCTACGGTGTTTTGTCTGACCGTGAATCCAACAGTGAACCAAGACCTCCCCCCTAGCCCCACACCGCCAGTCAACATTCACCCCATGCAAACCCGATCAAAATAAGGAATTTTTAAACCAAAAACCATTTTTAATTTAAACACTGTTGTTTTATCAGCTGATCCTACTTGTTTTTCTAAGGCAAATAAACAGTTAAAATGGCTTCTGGCGATGGCAAGGGAATTTAATGCTCTTATTTCTAATAAAACTTGGGATCTAGTCGCGTTTGATCTCACTAAAAATGTTGTGGGCTCTAAGTGGATTTATAAGAAAAAATTTCATTATGATGGGTCTATTGAGCGTCATAAAGCTCGTCTAGTTGCTCAAGGATTTAATCAACAGGCAGGTGTAGATTTTTCTGAAACTTTTAGTCCGGTCATTAAACCCACCACTGTTCGTATTGTTCTTACTTTAGCTATTTCCTTTGGGTAGCAAATCTCATTATGATGATTACCTTTTTGGTAGCATTTGTTGTTTGTTTTGGTAGCATTTGTTGTTCGTTTTGGGGCTTGTTCTCTAGCTAGGAACCATGATCGAATTGTAATAGATGTAATAGTTAAGGAACGACTTCCTGATTGATTACTAAATTACCTAAATGCAAGATTTTAGTGTTCGATTATCGGCGCATGTGTGAGATCTTGTGTTCGAAACCCGTCATGCACCAAAAAAGGAAGATGAGGGAGGTTTTTCTCCAAATGATTCTTCCTACCTTCACGGAGTTGCTCAGCGGCTAAGAAGGAAGAGGATGATAATGCAGCTTTGCGGATTCGTGTGGTAGAAGGAGCCCCGTGTGCAGCTAGACTGACAGGCTTTGAAAGTCCTACTAGATCAATTTTGGGGTTTAATATTGGAAAAGTATCACAAATAAGCTTAAAAGTAAAAAAAATATCACTTATATCACTTTTCAATTGGGAAAACTGTCAATTGCGCCCTCCTACTATGCGCGATCCGTCAATGGAGTCCCCGTACTTTGGAAATCCTCAATTGAACTCGCCAACAATGAAAATCCTGTCAATTAGGTCTACATAACCGGATGCTTCCCGGTTAGCCCGTTGCTCGCTCATGTGGCGCTGACGTGGACATCGTACATTGAGGGTTCCATTGCTGACATGGATTAAAAAATTTCACATCACTTAATGACTCTATCCTTTTCCGGTTAGCCCTAATTCCTTCCTTAATTCGAATTCGCATGTGTATCAGAAGCAAACCATCTAAGCGCTCTTCAAGGCTGTTCATCCATTTTTCTTCGTCGACTTGAATAACAGATAGTCCAGGTTAACTTTGTTATGATTTCACTTGTACTGTTTCTTACTGGTTCCATCAGCCCTTAGTCTGATTTGAATCTTTTCAAATGTACAGCATGTCCGACAAGGTGGAACTTATAATTCACCATGGAGGCAATTTTAAGTGTGTTCCTGAATCAATGTACGTTGGTGGTGAAGTTGATGTGCTACGCATAGACCCAGATTTGATTTGCTATCCTCATTTAATGAAGTGCTTAAAAACAGGAAGGTATGGTAACATTAAGGCTTTGTATTACAAAATGCTGAGCACAGGAATTGTGCAAGGCATATTCACGCAAATTGGAGCAAAACTCATCGAGGCATGAATCTGGAAAAACTGTTTTGGCTGTGTGAAAAGTCTACATGTGAACGTTAATTGGAAGCAAACTTAGCAGAGTTGGATAAGGTTAATGATGGAGTATATGGCATGGGAACACCCGGCCCACAGACTCCTACTACTCCAGTGAAGGCTGTCACGACTCTCCTGAGAATAAGTCCGTGACAAGGCC